ATTAGAACGCCGAGGTCACGTACTTCATCAACAACACTCATGGTACCGACGTGGTTATCAATTTTCAAGCAGTCCTTTCCGATAGGAAAAAGATGACTTTTATGAAAGTTCACCGTCAGATGCCATCGTCGCGTCCATTCAAACATGCGCTGAACAGCTTCGTTAAGCGCAGCTTGAACTTCAGTTTTATCATCTTCACTATAAATAGCTGTGACCTTGATGTCATCAGCATACGCATGGACAAAGATTCTTGTATCAGTTTTCAAAAAGGAGGGAAGGTCATAAGTATATAAGAGAAAGAGTATAGGAGAGAGGATGCCTCCCTGGGGTACCCCAGAAGGACATTCCCTCGGAAAGGAGAAGTCTTGAGAGAAACGCACTATCATTTATTATAAAAATATAAGTGTCGAATATTGTTGTGCCGAACAGGTTGTTAGGTGGTCCTTTTATTGTCGATACTCTTCGGCCTTACGTTTCGACGCTTTCGTCTTCATCAAAGGCCTGGAATGGTTCAAAGCTTCATCCGTAACTCCAGCCCATCAAACGTCTCCACCAGCCCTTGCCAGTTCTCGGCTCTTCCCCCAATCTAGTGCTACAAAAATTGTGATGATGAAAGACATACCAGGGAACCACCGCTTCGTTAGATGTCCGTAACGGATGTAGATGTTCGCGACGGACGACTGAGCTATATTGAGGGATGTCACATAAACAGCTATATCCTAGCCGAGATTCTTTTTCAAGTGTTAAAATTGTAACTTCGATACCAAAGTCATCCCTACTATGCGATTCGTGCCTGTGTCTGCCAAGCAGCGAGGCCAAGTTTTTGCGCCTCTTATCTGACAAATGCTCTTTGATGCAAATGCCGAGTGTTCTTCCTGTTTCCCCAATATAGCGAGCATCACATTTCAGACATGGAAATTATAAAAATATATATGAGCCGTCCTGTGCTTGCACGAAAACTTTTGAAGTATAGAAACGATTAACACGTTGACGACGAGCCATTTTTGCGGTCTGTCCCTATGGACGAAACGTTTCAATGCATCCCTACGCGTGGCCCATGTATGTATGCATGCATCCATGCACAGAGTACAAAATGTGCAAGCCCCGCCCCCTCTGGCAAGCTCCGCCCACTCGACCAAAAATGTCGGAAATTGCCCAAATTTCAAGAATTTACGCGATTTCCGCCACTTTTGAAAAGTGGGCGGAGCTTGCCACTCAGGGGCGGAGCTTGCCTGACGGTGGGCGGGGCCTGGCTAGAAGTTGCTTGAAGTCTTTGCGTTCATCTACACCCACATCCATGCTTTTTGTGGACAAAAAGGATCCTTGTGAGAGGCATAAAAGTGAGCGGAGTTTGCCAAAAGGGGCGGGGCTAATACATGAAGTACATCTAAGCCTATGTTGATTTTATAAACAAAAACTGAGAGGATTGGACAGATAGTATTGAATTTAAGGCCGCCGCGCACCATTGCGCGGCACTGTCGTCAACGTGTTAATGGAAGAACCCCTAAATAAATTCATGAGCAAAGTGTAGGGTGCTCAGCTGGTATCCAGTTGGAATGGTTCCACTAAATCAAAAGAATGTTGGGCGAGGATTTAGTTTACGTGCGCTTCCATTTTTCCCGCCATAGTTTGATTCATTCACGCGCTACCTTCTATAGTCTAGAGACAGGGCGCCAAAAGTGAAGGTTGTTTGAATATCTGAGGTCATAAATAGTAAAGGTTGTTTAAAGAAGATCAGAGAAGAGAAAATGATGTAAAACAGATATAAAAAGCAAAACAAACTGCTGAAAACCGGATGAAAACGCTGCAAAAAGGTTTGAAATTTTTCATTTGGCGGTTTTTCAGAGTGCAAGTTTTCGCTACAGGACCAGCAATTCGCAAACGGGGTTTTGATTCTTAATGCGTCCTTTGAGTTCTTACCCCCGCATTGACGTTCTTGTTTCCTGAGACGTTGTCCAGATTGTTGCGCTTATTGGGGCAACAATCGCCCAAGCTGGAAAAACATCGATGCGAAAGCACTGAAACAGAACAAGGTAAAGAAAAACGCACTTTTTGAGATTTTTTGCAAAGAATTCCACCATAATATAAGAGATAGGGGCTGGGTGTTGTCTGCATTATGAACAGAAGCAAGATCTATAGAATGCACGAAAAAACCGCGTGAAAAGGGTTAAACTAGGAGAAAAACAAGAGATTTTCGAAAACAAGTTTTTTGCCGGCTTTCTCCAAATAAAAAAATGTGGTTTTGGGACGTTTCAGCGTGAAAATAGAGATCAAGAGCTTCAAAATGATATATAGCTTGCTGAATTTGGGTTCGAAACAGCGAAGAAAAGGGTACCAGTGCCAACCCCGCGCCCCGCGTTTGGGGGAGCGAGGTAGCGCGCAGAGACGCAGACGAGCAGCGGAGACAGACCAGAGCCGACGGGGCATTTGGCTCCGGTCGTAGATCTTCGCGAGGTCTCAACGAAACCCTGCAGCATTATATACCGTTAATCCTCATAACACGACCAGGAGCACTGACAACGTCTCAAGCGTTGAAAATCACTCGTTAATGAGATAGACCAGCGTTTTCGTGCGCGACCCTCTTCGCAAGATTTAAGCGCAGTTTCTCGTTTTTATTTAACTCCAGTAGCTTTCCTAAATTTCTGAAGCTCTATTTTGGTCAAATAAGAGGTTAACTGAGAAATTCTTCCTGAATTCGGGCGAAAATTCCACAGAAACCTTCTTTTTAACGTGAAAAATGCTATGAAATCGCATATTCTCGGTTTTGCTGAAAGCTAAAAATATTATTCCCTATATTTGCTTCATTAACATACGTTTTGATATAGTCAGGATAATAACATCCAGGGCGAAGCCCCGGATGACTTTTGTTTTTTACAAGTGAAGGTTGTTTCCCCTCATAACCCTCAAAGTCAAGGTTACCAGAGTACGTGGCTTTATGTATCGAGGGTATGCTCCCCGCATGTGCACACCCAATTAGGTACCATATCATTGCGTTCTGGCTGTTAAGAAAGTCAATATGTTAATATGTTGATATGTTTGTTTGGAACACGATTACCGTATGCATGTACGTCCCCGCTGGGGAGGGGAGGGGAGTTGGATCCCCAGGGGAACGATCCCCTCCGCCGAACCCCGCCATGACAGAGGGGAGGGGAGCGATCCCCTCCCCTGCACCTAAGCGGGAATGGTGTGAATGGTTTCCGAGGTATTGATCCAACGAACCCCAGTGCATACGGGGTTCGCGTGGGGGAGGGGATCCCTTTCCACTCCCCACTCGATCCCCGTATGCACGAGTGTAACTCAACAACGCATGGAAGGGGATCAACATCCCCTACAACGGAGTAGGGGTTCGATAGTGTAGGTCATGCCAGAGAAGCGACTAATCTGGTTTCAATCAGTTATTACACAAAGCACTTCGTTCAAATTGATGAAAGATTTTCCATGGTAGCCGGGTTCCTCTCTCAGCGACCTGTAGCTTGCAGTTTTGTCTCTCTTTTCTATTTTCGCTTCTCGTGAAGAAACCCGGGTATATATCTGCCAGTTTCGAATATCTGTAGGAGTTTCTAAACATTTTCGAGATTTGCGCATTTTCTATATGACATGCTAATTATATCCACGAAGACTGGTATAACACATTGTAACTATCATATTATATGATATCATGTCTTTATCTTGTTATCCTAACGTAAGCTGCTTTGAAAAAAATGAAAATTAGCAGATTTTTTCTTCTGTTATGCGTAGAAATGCTGGTTAGTTTACCCCCTCTTCTTTTTTTCGGCAGCATAAAGTCTTCTACCCGTCCCCTGCAGAGAGATCTGACTTCTACTGTTGAACATTTACGCTAAAATGGGCAGCATGAGCTAAAATGAGCAGCATCATTACAACAGCAGGACTATATTGGGCCTAGAAAATATAATTTTTGGTGTGCCGAGCGCATTCACAGTAGATGATTCCGCAACGCCTAAATCATTGCCGATGACGAAAGTGAAGATAAGCATTCGTCAAAAGATGAGAATACAAAAAAATCGCCATATGAAAGCGAAAGAAAAGTGATGTCCACACTCGATCTAATTGTGCATAAGGGGGTTCCCTTCCCCTACTCCCAGGGGATCCCTTCGCCGATATTGTCTGCTTGCATACGAGGGTTCGCCTGGGGAGGGGAGGGGAGCCCCAGCGGGGATCATTTCAATAGTAGAACGCACATCCCCTCCCCGCGGGGATGACGTGCATACGGGCCTAAATTGCCGCGCTATGCGACATCGCGTTCAAATATGCACGTACCAATTCTTCAAACCGGTGAGGATGTCCGTATGTACGGTTTTTAGGTAGGGTTTGACTCTGATGCATTTCTCTTTCTTTAAAGAAGAAGGACTCTAATCTAGACGAAAATGATCTCTCTTTGAGTTTCCCTTGAAAACGTCCAGCTTGACACGGTTAGTTGTGTGGAGTTCTGTTCCTAAACCTAGCCTGTTGGAAGCCCTGCTTTCCGCCTACAACCATAATAGGAGGAGTGAAAATTGGCGAATTTTGCCGAACATAATGAAACAAATGCAAAAAAGCATACATGTCACATCCTCTCCCAAAGCTTGGTGTAACCTGTAGTTGAGATAGATTTCTTTTGCAAGAGAATGAACTATATATTCACAGTTGAACAATGAGGACAACGAAGGACGCGAGCTACATTGTTGCAAGGATCTCCTCACTTTTTTGCATTAATCACTTTGATCAATAATTCATTCAATCAATCCTTCTTTTTGATGATTTCGAGCTAACGTCACATGCCGATATGATTGTCAAACAAATTCATGGCAACGAGCTTTGCACATAAAAGAGAGAAAGCTATTGTAAGTTTAGGCATATTTTTTGCTAAATTCTCATCGAAATTCTATTGCAACGTTGAAGAATGTGAAACAGAATACATTTCCTTAAATATGACAAAGATTGATTGAAGCTCATGGAGATGCTAAACATGAACAGGGCGTTAGAATTACGAAACAGGGGCAAAATATGCATGCATACGGGATACGGCTTCAAGGTATTCGCAATGTTCTTGCCAGATATTTTTCTTGTGGCTGCTGCGATAAGTGTCAATGGGCAATATTCCACTTCCACTTTGTCAGGGCCACAGAGATCAAAATCATCCGTAAGGCAAGAACTCACTACAGTGAAGTCTAAAGGATTTCTGCGACAAACATCTTTTGAATCGCGAATACCTACTCCATTTGTCCCAAAGACCTATCGTCCTCTGCCACGACTTCCGCCACATGACATTACACCTCTAAGGCCCGGCCTATTTTCCCTCAGCAATCCTGTATCCCCTTCCATATTAAGAAACGAGTCTACGCGAATATGGTCCGAGCAAAACTTCGTCGGGCCTGAACTTCCCTTACTGCCCGTTAGACCCTATACCACATGGATGAAACTAAACCATACTTCACGAAGCACTCCAAGAGCAGATCCCACACTATGGGCAACTTCAGTGAGAGGTATATTGCTCTTATTTGCACTCTTAGATTTTTGTAAGTATTTGTGAATTTACAGCTGACATATAGAATTGAGTTTACGTCGTCTTACAGATGACGCAACACAATCAATCATGCTTAAATTAGGAAAGCAATCAAACAACAGCTTTTATTGTGTTGCGCCACCAGTAAAACTACGGTGAAGATGGTAGAACATTATACTTGTAAAGTGCTTAGTACACTTAGATACAATTCGGCCATATAAATCATCTGGCAATGGAACACTTGTGCATCATAATGAAGAAGGCTTTCTGAGCACAAGCTCACACACTCCAGACGCAATGCAGAAGATAAGCAAAACTAATAAACTTAAGCTCAAATCATTCAACTACAGTACGCCGTACCAGCATGGAATTGTTTTTCTGAGTTCTTCGAGCAAAGCAACTGTGCCAGCGATAAAGCTGACCTTGAGCAAAGTAAATTTATGGAAGTTTGTGGAGCAGAATCTGGGCAAAGTAAATCAGTGGAACCTTGTGCCATTTGTCCATAACGAAACACCTTACCATTATGACTCAGACCAAACAATGCCGGTAGCAGAGCTGAAATCAAGCAAAGTAAATCAAGAGCTTATAGAGCAGATTTTGAGCAAAGTAAATCGATGGAAGCTCAAGACATTTGTCCAAAACGGAAAACCATACCACTACGACTCGACCAAGGAAACAATGCCGGTAGCAGAGCTGAAATTGAGCAAAGTAAATCAAAAGAAGTTTGTAGAGCAGATTTTGGGCAAAGTAAATCGGTGGAAGTTAAAGTCATTTGTCCAAAACGGAAAACCATACCACTACAACTCTACCCAGGAAACAATGCCGGTAGCACAGCTGAAATTGAGCAAAGTAAATCAAGAGCTTATAGAGCAGATTTTGAGCAAAGTAAATCGGTTGAAGCTTAAGTCATTTGTCCAGTATGGAAAACTATACCACTGCAACTCGACTCAGGAAACAATGCCGATAGCAGAGCTGAAATTGAGCAAAGTAAATCAAAAGAAGTTTGTAGAGCAGATTTTGGGCAAAGTGAATCGGTGGAAGTTCAAGTCATTTGTCCAAAACGGAAAACCATACCACTGCAACTCGACTCAGGAAACGATGCCGGTAGCAGAGCTGAATTTGAGCAAAGTAAATCAAAAGAAGTTTACAGAGCAGATTTTGAGCAAAGTAAATCGGTGGAAGTTCAAGTCATTTGTCCAAAACGGAAAACCATACCACTACAACTCTACCCAGGAAACAATGCCGATAGCAGAGCTGAAATTGAGCAAAGTAAATCAAAAGAAGTTTATAGAGCAGATTTTGAGCAAAGTAAATCGGTGGAAGTTCAAGTCATTTGTCCAAAACGGAAAAACATACCACTACAACTCTACCCAGGAAACAATGCCGGTAGCAGAGCTGAAATTAAGCAAAGTAAATCAAAAGAAGTTTGTAGAGCAGATTTTGGGCAAAGTGAATCGGTGGAAGTTCAAGTCATTTGTCCAAAACGGAAAACCATACCACTGCAACTCGACTCAGGAAACAATGCCGGTAGCAGAGCTGAATTTGAGCAAAGTAAATCAAAAGAAGGTCACAGAGCAGATTTTGAGCAAAATAAATCGGTGGAAGTTTAAGTCATTTGTCCAAAACGGAAAACCATACCACTACAACTCTACCCAGGAAACAATGCCGGTAGCAGAGCTGAAATTGAGCAAAGTAAATCAAAAGAAGTTTGTAGAGCAGATTTTGGGCAAAGTGAATCGGTGGAAGTTCAAGTCATTTGTCCAAAACGGAAAACCATACCACTGCAACTCGACTCAGGAAACGATGCCGGTAGCAGAGCTGAATTTGAGCAAAGTAAATCAAAAGAAGTTTACAGAGCAGATTTTGAGCAAAGTAAATCGGTGGAAGTTCAAGTCATTTGTCCAAAACGGAAAACCATACCACTGCAACTCGACTCAGGAAACGATGCCGATAGCAGAGCTGAAATTGAGCAAAGTAAATCAAAAGAAGTTTATAGAGCAGATTTTGAGCAAAGTAAATCGGTGGAAGTTCAAGTCATTTGTCCAAAACGGAAAAACATACCACTACAACTCTACCCAGGAAACAATGCCGGTAGCAGAGCTGAAATTAAGCAAAGTAAATCAAAAGAAGTTTATAGAGCAGATTTTGAGCAAAGTAAATCGGTGGAAGTTTAAGTCATTTGTCCAAAACGGAAAACCATACCACTACAACTCTACCCAGGAAACAATGCCGGTAGCAGAGCTGAAATTAAGCAAAGTAAATCAAAAGAAGTTTATAGAGCAGATTTTGAGCAAAGTAAATCGGTGGAAGTTCAAGTCGTTTGTCCAGAACGGAAAAACATACCACTACAACTCTACCCAGGAAACAATGCCGGTAGCAGAGCTGAAATTAAGCAAAGTAAATCAAAAGAAGTTTATAGAGCAGATTTTGAGCAAAGTAAATTGGTGGAAGTTCAAGTCGTTTGTCCAGAACGGAATGCCGCACCAGCAAGGGAGACTTTTCCTGAATACTTCAACCCAGGCAATTACGCCAGTAACGGGGCAGAAGATGAGCAAGGTAAATGGAAAAAAGTTGAAATCATTTATCTATCATGGCACGCTAAAGTTCAAATCATTTATCTATCATGGCATGCTACATCGGAATGGAAAAGTTTTCCTGAATGCTTCAACCCATGCAAGTTCTTCAGTAGCAGGGCGAAAGCTGAACGTGATTCGAAGGAAGTTTAAATCATTTATCTACCACGGAACTCTACATGGAAATGGAAGAAACTTTCTCAGCAGCAGCAAAGTAAGCCGAAGGAAGTTTATGTCATTTACCTACAAGGGACCTTTACATTGGAATAGAAATATCAGCTTCGTAAATGCTTCAATCTCATCATCTATGCCAGTAAGAGAGCGGCAATTAAGCAAATTAAACAAAGAGAAGCTTGAGTCACTTATTAGCAGCAGAACGCTGCAAGGGAATGGGAATAGCAGCTTCGTGAGCACTTCAACCCAAGCAACTACGTCAGTAAGAAAACAGAAGCTGAGCAAAGTGAATCGAAGAAAGTTCAAATCATTTATCTATCATGGCACGCTACATCGGAATGGAAAAGTTTTCCTGAATGCTTCAACCCATGCGACTTCTTCAGTAGCAGGGCGAAAGCTGAACGTGATTCGAAGGAAGTTTAAATCATTTATCTACCACGGAACTCTACATGGAAATGGAAGAAACTTTCTCAGCAGCAGCAAAGTAAGCCGAAGGAAGTTTATGTCATTTACCTACAAGGGACCTTTACATTGGAATAGAAATATCAGCTTCGTAAATGCTTCAACCCCATCAACTATGCCAGTAAGAGAGCGGCAATTAAGCAAATTAAACAAAGAGAAGCTTGAGTCACTTATTAACAGCAGAACGCTGCAAGGGAATGGGAATAGCAGCTTTGTGAGCACTTCAACCCAAGCAAGTATGTCAGTAAGAAAACAGAAGCCGAGCAGAGTGAATCGAAGAAAGTTCAAATCATTTATCTATCATGGCACGCTACATCGGAATGGAATTCTGAATGCTTCAACCCATGCAACTTCTTCAGTAGCAAAGCGAAAGTTGAACATGATTCGAAGGAAGTTCAAATCATTTATCTACCACGGAACTCTACAAGGAAATGGAAGAAACTTTCTCAGCAGTTCGACTCAAACAACTCCTGTAAGAAAGCAGAAGCTGAGCAAAGTAAATCGAAGGAAGTTTATGTCATTTACCTACAAGCGAACTTTACATTGGAATAGAAATATCAGCTTTGTAAATGCTTCAACCCCATCAACTATGCCAGTAAGAGAGCGGCAATTGAGCAAATTGAACAAAGAGAAGCTTGAGTCACTTATTAGCAGCAGAACGCTGCAAGGGAATGGGAATAGCAGCTTTGTGAGCGCTTCAACCCAAGCAACTACGTCAGTAAGAAAACAGAAGCTGAGCAAAGTGAATCGAAGAAAGTTTAAATCATTTATTTACCACGGAGCTCTACATTGGAATGGCAATAGGAGCTTCGTAAGTACTTCAACCCAAGCTACTACCCCGGTAAAAAAGCAGAAGGTGAGCAGAGCGCGAGGAAGGTTTAAGGCATTTGCCTACGACAGAACGCCACATCAGGATGGAAGGAGCTTTCTCATTACTTCGACTCAAGCAACTACGACAGTAAGAGAGCAGAAGGTGAGCAAAGTGAACCGAACAAAGTTCAAATCATTTATCTACCACGGAAGGTTGCATGGAAATGGGAATAGCAGCTTCGTCAGTACTTCAACCCAAGCAACTATGCAAGTAAGAGAGCGGCAATTGAGCAAATTGAACAGAGAGAAGCTTGAGTCACTTGTTAGCAACAGAACGCTGCAAGGGAATGAGAATAGCAGCTTTGTGAGTACTTCAACCCAAGTTACTACTCCGGCAAGAAAGGAGAAGTTGAGCGAAGTCAATCGAAGCAAGTTCAAATCATTTATCTACCACGAAACGTTGCATGGAAATGGGAATAGCAGCTTCGTTAGTACTTCAAGCCAAGCCATTGTGCCACTAAGACCGCAGAATTTGAGCAAAGCGAACCGAGAAAAGCCTAAATTATCTGTTAACAACGGAACGCTGCATGGGAATGGGAATAGCAACTTTATGAGTACTTCATCTCAAGAAACTAGCGTGGTAAGAAAGCAGAATTTAAGCGAAGTTAATCGGAGGAAGTTCAAATCATTTATTTACCACGGAGCTTTACATCGGAATAGAAATAGCAGCTTTGTAAGTGCTTCAACTCAAGCCACTGTGCAAGTAAGAGAGCGGCAATTAAGAAAATTAAACAGAGAGAAGCTTGAGTCACTTGTTAGCAACAGAACGCTGCAAGGGAATAAAGATACTAGCTTTGTGAGTACTTTAATCCAAGCAACTACTCCGGCAAGAAAGCAGAACGTGAGCGAAGTTAATCGAAGGAATTTCAAATCGTTTATTTACCTCGGAACGTTACATCGGAATAAAAGTAGCGGTCCTGTAAGCTCTTCAACCCAAGCTACTACCCCGGTAAAAAAGCAGAAGGTGAGCAGAGCGCGAGGAAGGTTTAAGGCATTTGTCTACGACAAAACGCCACGTCAGGATGAAAAGAGCTTTCTCAGTACTTCGACTCAAGCAACTACGACAGTAATAGAGCAGAAGGTGGGCAAAGTGAATAGAGAGAAGTTTAAGTCATTTGTTAGCGACAAAATGCTGCAAGAGAATGAAAATAGCAGCTTCGTCTCTACTTCAAGCCAAGCCACTACGCCACTAAGAGCGCAGAATTTGAGCAAAACGGACCGAGAAAAGTCTGAATTATTTGTGAACAACGGAGCGCTGCATGGGAATGGAAATAGCAACTTTAGTACGTCAACCCACGTAACTACACCGATGAAAAACCAGAAGTTGAGCAAAATGAATAGAGAGAAGTTTGAGTCATTTGTTAGCGACAAAATGCTGCAAGGGAATGGGAATAGCAGCTTCGTCAGTACTTCAAGCGAAGCCTCTACGCCAGTAAGAGCGCAGAATTTGAGCAAAACGGACCGAGAAAAGTCTGAATTATTTGTTAACAACGGAACGATGCATGGGAATGGGAATAGTAGCTTTTTTAGCACTTCAACCCACGTAACTACACCGATAAGAAAGCAGAAGTTGAGCAAAATGAATAGAGAGAAGCTCGAGTCATTTGTTAGCGACAAAATGCTGCAAGGGAATGGGAATAGCAGCTTCGTCAGTACTTCAAGCGAAGCCTCTACGCCAGTAAGAGCGCAGAATTTGAGCAAAACGGACCGAGAAAAGTCTGAATTATTTGTTAACAACGGAACGATGCATGGGAATGAGAATAGTAGCTTTTTCAGTACTTCAACCCACGTAACTACACCGGTAAGAAAGCAGAAGTTGAGCAAAATGGATAGAGAGAAGCTCGAGTCATTTGTTAGCGACAAAATGCCGCAAGGGAATGGGAAAAGCAGCTTTGTGGGTGCTTCAATTCAAGTAACTACGCCGGTAAAAAAGCAGAAGTTGAGCAAAGTGAATCAAAGAAAGTTTAGTACATTTGATAACGGAACGTCGCAGCAGTATGGAGAAGGTCTGAATGCTTCAACCCAGGCAACTACGCCAATAGCAGGGCAGAAGTTGAGCAAAGTGAATCAAAGGAAGTTCAAGTCGTTTATCTACCACCGAGCGCTTCATCGGAATGAAAATAACTTTGTGAGTACTTCAAGCCAAGCGAGTACTCCGGTAATGAAGCAGAAGTTGAACAAAGTGCAAAGAAAGTTTGAATCATTTGTCTACAACGAAACGCTGCATCGAAATGGAAAAAGCTTCCTCAGCACTTCGACTCAAGCAGCTACGCTAGTAAGGAAGCAGAAATTAGGCAAAGTAAATCGAAAAAATTTTGAAACAGCTGGAGTGCCGCTGTTGCAGCGCCAACAAGGCTCTCCTAATGCTACAGCTCAGGCGACCACGCAAGTGGAAGAGAATAAAACATCAAGCCCTGAGAAACGAGGAGACAAGTCACTCGTCTCTAGCGGAATGCCAAATTCTCGATATAGAAAAGTTCCTAGTAGGTTTCTACAAACAATCACTACAGCAGCAGTGCATGAGTCAAAAAAAGTAAATCGGAATGTTCACAATATGAAGGGCTCTTCAGTTGATTTAAGTACAGCAGCTATATCAGCGACACAGAAGAAAGCAAGCAGTAGGAGTACAAGCAAATTATTCACACCCACTGAAGCGCCAGCATACCAGCAAAACAAAGGTTTCTCAGACACAACAGCAAAGAAGAAACCAAACAAGGGAAAGCAAGATATTCATAAATTCTTTCTCAACAAAGTGGTGGAGTCACATGCAGCCGCAAAGCAGGAATTGAGCAAGAAGAAATTAGAAAAGCGTAAGTCATTCGCCCACCTAATCACGGAGCCAGAAATGCACATTGATAAAAGCAGCCTAGATACTTCAACTGAAGTAACCACAACAACAGGAAAGCGGAATATAGCATCTATCCTTTCAATTTCGGAACAATTAAACAGTAAACGCATTGTAGATGTAAGCGGAGCAACATCAAGGCATTCAAAATGGACGGACAAAAATTCTGCAAGAACTCCAGCTGCAGCAGCTACTCCAGCGGCAGAAAGAAACCGAGACATTGAGTCGAAAGGTGAGACCGAAATAAGATGTACTAAACTGCTGTACATTACCACTATCGGGAGAATTAGCTGGATTATTCCGTTTTTCACGAGTAAAGAATACTTTGCCTCAGTGTTAAAGGCAGGTCCAGGCAAACCTCGACATATGGGGCTCTCACATGGCTCGTAATTTTGGGGTCCTAACTAAGCCACTGCCCAACCGGCAGCTCAGGTAGTGCACTAGCGGCTCGCCTCGTGAACCCCGGGATCGTGTTTTGCATGGATTCTTGGCGCAATCCATGGGTCCTCGCGCGAAATTGATGGGTTGTGCCAGGAATCCATGCAAAATACGACGCCGGGGTTCAGTTTCGAGGCGAATATCTCACCGTTAGTGCACTACCTGAGCTGCCGGTTGGGCAGTGGCTTAGTTAGGGTTAACCAAAATTACTATCCAGGTGAAAGCCCCATAGTTCAGACTTGCCTGGAGGCTACCTTTAAGCAATGAAATGTATAGGCCGTCCGCGCTGTGCGTGGAGAGTAACGCTGTCGCGTAAAGTGAAGATAGTACGGGCGCAGAAAAGACATGCGGCGAGAGTGCACGGGGAAAGAGGAATGACGCGCACTGCACACCTTGCGCACTCTCCGCGCCCTGCGCGGACGGCCTATACATCGTTACTTTCAGAATACTGCTAACATATTCGTTTCCAAATCTGCGAAACGGTTCTGCGAAAAAAGTTACGAACCCTTGGCTGTGCAAGATTTGCACTGCATACAGGCGATTACGAGTAATTATGCATCACTGCAACGGCAGATACAACACCGCTCATAATTCGTCAAAAAAGTCGCCGGACTGCGGCGCACTCCGCGAGTGCGTTGCAGCGCGCCGCAGTGCGACGCAGTCCGCTAGAGTGCAGCGGAATGCGTCGCACTGCATTGCAGTCCGCCGGAGTGCGGCAAAGTGCGCCACACTCCACTAGAGTTTGCCGGAGAGCAGTGCGCCGCACATCACTAGAGTCCGTCGGAATCCGCGTCGTATCGCCTTATCTCGCTCCAGAATAAACGACTTCTGAATCAGAGGACATCGTTCGATTCAACTCGGCGAGACGCACCATCTAGTATATAGGAGTGCCACAATCTAGCAGGATATGATAGGTATACGCTAGACAGTAAGTTTTCGCTCAGTTTTGCAGATTTTTGTTTGGTTGTATTGCTCAGTGTGATGATAACAGTATTGCCAATGATTTGTCGCTAACGAACACATAGAAAGTATACTGTAGGAGTATGATAGAGAGTCAGTCTGATCGAACTGATCTGCTCTAAAATCTGCTCAAGATCACAATCCCGCTCACAGAATGTACAAAATTTCCGTAAAATTCGCGGATTTCCGGGATTTCGGCCAAAGTCCGTGATATTCCTGGAAGTTCGCTACATTCTAAGATCCGCGGATACATGGGAATCACGTAGAATACGCATAACTTCTTTCGCAATAAATACAGTGACCGCCAAAAAGTTGCGGACAAACCCCTCTCCCTTTTTCATCGCTCTTTTTCAGAGGGAAAACAATTATGAAAAAATGTAGTAATTGCGTGAAGTGATAGAGCTCTTCAAGCTCTACAATATACACTTTGAGCTTTTTGAGAAACATGTATTCTAAAAATTTTAAGAATCTTTTTCTAAAAAAAGTCCGAAAATGGCCGCGTCACAATGTCGCGGACAATAATTCTTCGAACACAAAAATTTTCTTTTGAGTCCTATTTTAAAGCGGAAACACAAGTTATCCGGACGGGTAAACATATTAGTATACAGAGCTCGTCAAGAACTACACACTGGTTATGGTTGCTTCCCCAAAAAACGCAAGCTTGAGTTTTATTTTGCTTTTTTCAAAAAATAACTTCTAATTTCCTTTATCAAGCCAAATTTCTTCACATGTAAAGCTGTTCAAGACATCCCAACAAAGCCGTCTGGATAAAGTAGATGCTCTTTGCCATCCTCTATGCATCGGACATGTGCTGATGAGTTTCTTGGCTGAAAATGGCCCTTGGCAGTGCTTGCGCATGACCCCACCTGCACCTCACCACTGACTTGTACCGCTTTGCAGGCTTGTAACTCGGCCGCCAGACAATATAAGAGTCTGCACTCAGGCTCATTCGAAAGAACGAGACTTCCTCTACACGACATTATGCAAAAGAGTTGAGTTTGAGAAATTTCAGAGATTTGGCGGATGGGGTAAAAAAGTGCAGCTTTAGAGGTGATTGGCGTGAAAGCTCTTATGAACACCAGAACAGTCTTAAAGCTTCGAAATGGATCTATTACAAAAAAACTGACAGTCTTGAACTTCCAGGATAAAATTGGTAGCGAAAGGAGCTCTTTTCAACTTAAGCTGAAAAGTGCTTAGACTACAAGTGAAGCTGCCCTCTACCACCCATCCGCCATATCTCTGAAATTTCTCAAACTCAACTCATCTGCAAACCATCGTGTAGAAGAAGTCTCGTTCTTTCGAATGAGCCTAATCGCAGGCTCAAATATTGATTGCAGGCCGAGTTACGAGCCTGCAAAGCGGTAGATCAGTGGTGAGGTGCAGGTGGTCATGTGCAAGCACTGCCAAGGGCCATTTTCAGCCAAGAAACTCATCAGCACATGTCCGATGCGTAGAGTATGGCAGAGAGCATCTATTTTATCCAGACGGCTTTGCTGGGATGTCTTGAACAGGTTTACGTGTAAAAAAAATTGGCTTGATAAAGGAAATTAGAAGTTATTTTTTGAAAAAAGCAAAATAAAACTCGAGCTTGCGTTTTTTGGGGAAGCAACCATAACCAATGTGTAGTTCTTGACGAGCTCTGTATAGCAGTATGTTTACCTGTCCGGATAATTTGTGTTTCCGCTTCAAAATAGGACTCAAAAGAAGATTTTTGCGTTCGAAGAATTATTGTCCGCGACATTGTGACGCGGCCATTTTCGGACTTTTTTTAGAAAAAGATTTTTAAAATTTTTGAAAGGCATGTTTTCCAGAAAGCACAATGTATGGGTTGTTGCTCTTGAAGAGCTCTATCATCCATGCAATCCAAACATTTTTTCATCTTTGTTTTCCATCGGAAAATGAGCGATGAAAAAAGGAAGGCGGCTTGTCCGCAACTTTTTGGCGGTCACTGTATATTCTAAATCCGGAAGCAGCATTGTGTTCAGATCGAGTCAAATCTTCCGATTTACAGTATGCCCTCGATAATCTGTTTTTAGTTTTCTCGATTTTCTGTGGAGGTCCTTTAGCGAGGATGTAACGCAGCGTCTGTGTAACATAAAAGATTCCAGTACGCACCATTCGATAGTACTGTTCTTGTAGATTATCGTGTGTTTAAAAGTAGCTGCAGACTGTTTTTCAAAAAAGACAGAAGTGTTGGTGAACTTTGGAAAAATCACGCATTTTCAAATTTTACTCGCCGTAACTTCGTTCGGAATGAACACACTCCGAATCCGAGGAGAGCTTTGTGCTCAGTTTATCAAGGCAAATCTTCCGATATACAGTATGCCCTTGATATTCCGATTTCAGTATTCTAAAATCTTCTGTGGACGTCTTTTCGCAAAGGTGTAAAGCAGCTCGCATTGCCCCTAGTAGACTCCAGCAAGGACCGTTGCGATAGTACTTATTCTGAGATTATGGAGCGCTAAAATGTAGTCGCAGGCGTCTTTTCAATGGAGATAGAAGGGCTGGTTATTTGTAAAAAAAAATCTTTTCGCCCCAAATTCTACTCGTTGTAACCCTAGAATACGAAGCTATCTTGCTAAACAGATATGAATTTTGTAATCAGCAGGTAGGATAACCCCTATGAGCAAGTTTTCAGAGAACTTCGGGTTATTTGGTTTTTTCTCGTCACGCTCTGGAAGCTCGCGAGTGGGTTTTGATCGAAATGTTGATGATCTTGGTTTTTAAGGAAACTCCGCTCATGGGAGGTTTTCGAAATCGCTGTTTATGAAAATCGTGTTTTCTGTCTTTAAGTATAGGGTCTTTTTGCGCAGATATGGTGAGGTGACTGTAACTGTACCACGAAAGTGCCTAACTTTGCATTTTGCCTCCATTTTGCCCAAAATGTAAAAATCGCATATTTCGTCGAAAGTCCACCGTGAGTGGTTGTATGACACACTGATCAAATCTGTTCACATCGTTTAATGGATCTCACTGTGTTGGATTTGTTAATTAGGTAGATCTAGTTACGAAGCTGCTTTGATATTCAATTAAGCAGCTGAAGAAACGCAACCACCATATTTACATTAGAATCGCCTGGGCGAAATGAACATAATGTTTGCAATCAGAATGTCATACAACCACTCAGGGTGGAATTTCGACGAAGTGCGTGATCTTTACATTTTGGGCAAAATTCATGAGGACGTGTTTTCGTAACTCGGCGAATTTTATAGACTGGAGCTTGGATCGTGCACCATTCGATAGCACAGTTTCTAGTAACTTTGACTTAGAAAAGCAAGCAAGCTTTTCTGACAGATACGCGAGAAGTGCGGGCAAAGTTACGCACTTTCGTGGTACAGTTACAGTCACCTCACCATATCTGTGCAAAAAGACCCTACACTTGACAGAGAACACGATTTTCATAAACAGCGTGTTCGAAAACCTTCATGAGCAGAGGTTCCTTCCAAACCAAGATCATCAACATTTTAACCAAAACCCACTCGCGAGCTTCCAGAGCGTGAAACGAGAAAAAACATATAACTCGAAGTTCTCTGAAAACTTCCCCATGGGGGTTATCCGACCTGCTGATTACAAAATTCATATCTGTTTAGCAGGATAGCTTCGTATTTTAGGGTTACGACGAGTAGAATTTGAAAACGCATGATTTTTCAAAGTTCACCAACGCTTATGTCTCTTTAGGAAGACAGTTTGCAGCTACTTTTAAACACAACGATAACCTCTAAGAGCAGTACTATTGAATAGTGTTTTGGAATCTTTTAAGTTACACAGACGCTGCGTTACATCCTTGCGAAAGGACCTCCACAGAAAAAATTCGAGAAACCTGAAAACAGATATCGAGGGCATACTGTAAATCGGAAGATTTGACTCGATCTGACCACAATGCTGCTTTCGTATTTAGAATATATTTATTACAAGGGAAGTTATGCGTATTCTGCGTGATTCCCGTGAATCCGTGATTTTAGAATGTCGCGAACTTCCAGGAATATCACGGATTTTGGCCGAAATCCCGGAAATCCGCGAATTTTACGGAAATTTTGTACATTCTGTGAGCGATATTGTGATCTTGAGCAGATTTTAGAGCAAATTTGATCAGATTGACTCTCTATCATACTCCTACAGTATACTTTCTATGCGCTCGTTAGCGACAAATCATTGGCAATACTGTTATCAGCACACTGAGCAATACAACAAACAAAAATCTGCAAAATTGAGCGAAAACTTACTGTCTAGCGTATACCTATCATATCCTGCTAGGTTGTGGCACTCCTATATACTAGATGGTGCGTCTCGCCGAGTTGAATCGAACGATGTCCTCTGATTCAGAAGTCGTTTATTCTGGAGCGAGATAAGGCGATACGACGCGGATTCCGACGGACTCTAGTGATGTGCGGCGCACTGCTCTCCGGCAAACTCTAGTGGAGTGTGGCGCACTTTGCCGCGCTCCGGCGGACTGCAGTGCAGTGCGACGCATTCCGCTGCACTCTAGCGGACTGCGTTGCACTGCGGCGCATCGCGACGCACTCGCGGAGTGCGCCGCAGTCCGGCGACTTTTTTGACGAATTATGAGCGATAGTGTATGTGTTTCGAAACACAACCATAACGAAACTACTGATATTCGCTGGCTGAGATTTTCAAACAAACGATGGAGATTCATAAGAAGTAACCCTGTACCTTATGGCTGGGAGCCAAGTGCTCTATCAACTGCATTACCGGCGTCCCTGTCAATGATTCATCATTGTTTCTGTTCTATCCAACAGTAGACGGAAAATCGTAGATTCAGTGGTTCGTAAATTCTTCTACAGAATTCGCTTGCAGATATGAAAAGAGAAGAAGTTATCGTGTTCCGAAAGTACCTTTAGTGATCTATATTTCCTTGCTGGATACCGGTGCGACTCGGTATCCTGCCCTTCTCAAACAACATAAACCAACTGATTTTCCAGATAATGACAATGTATTATGTCCCGACATTGGAGAATTGAGTAGAGTTTTGAGATTCTTAATGCGGAAGACCTTCCAGATCCTGCGAGCTCAACTAATTCAGCAGCTAGGCGGAATCTGACCGTAAAAGTAGAGTAAGGACATATTAATTTTTCTAAGAATTTTTCAAAATATTGGGTCGGTCCAAAAGTTTGTTCCGTTTTTAACCTGTCAAAAAAATAATTCGTGGAATAAAGGCGGCAAATGCTCTAAGCCTCTCAAATGCAGATAATCTTCGTCTTTCCATCAGTCATGATCTAGTACCATTTGCTTTGGTGGTGTCTGAGATAATTGCCGAAATTGCAAACCATGATTTTTACCATGCTCAACTGAGGTAATTTTCAAAATCTTCATTTTAAACTTTTGAGAAAGCTTTGGTAGCAATATAGCGTAAACAAAATGCAATGCAATGCAAATTCCTCACATCTCCAATTAGCTTTTCAGTAGATTTTTTAGGATAACTTTTCCAAAAGTCTTCATTTTTGCGAAGTCGCAAAATACATAAAGGCTCCAAACGGAATTTGAAACTTGCAGAAACAGATTATGATAACACGCTAACTTTACAAAGCATCAGAGTGTTTGCCTCTTCGAAATGTCAAATCTCGCGTTCCACGGGTACAGCATGAAGCGGGTTGCAAGTCAAGAATTATGTTAATTTTATCGTCAATTACTCCACAAATTGGTAAGGAAAAAGGCCTGCCAGAAAGGAGAGAAAACGCTGCGCCGAATGACACCTTAGTTGTGCTCCGTTCGATGTTCTGTGACTTTTGGAACGACCAGATAGCATCAAAATATAGTTTTGAAAGTTTTGGAAAGCCAAAGATGCCAAGAAATTTTACTGTATTGCACTTTGTTTACGCTATCTAACTGCTGCCAAAGCCTGTTTTAAAATTTTAAAATGAAGATTTTGAAAGATTGCCAAAGTTGGGCATGGTAGAAAGTATGGGCTTGAAATTTCGGCAAACATCTCAGAAACCACCAAAGCATATGGTCCCGAAACATGAATGTTGGAAAGAGAACAAAACCTGCGTCTGGGAGTGCTTAGAGCATTTGGCTGCCTTTATTCCACTTGTTTTTATGGCAGGTCGAAAAAACGAAAAGAACTTTCGGACCGACCTAATTATTCTCTGTCATTGTAAGAGCCATTAACATTGCAGCAGGTCAAAATACAAGATGATGCCCCACTATAGGCGCCTAAATCTGAACTATAAATTCTGAAGAAAGGTTCAAATCTTTGTGATAATGATTGTTAGCTACAGAATAAAGCCAGTTGCTGAAGTTTTGGCGGATAAAGATTTGAAATTTTACAAAGCGTGTTCACTGGTCGTTTGTTTATGTTTGAAATGAAGCTTCTGGAATTGTCCTTACATTGCAAGCCCTATTAGATCGCTGTTAAACAAAATGATGCTCTTTCGTAACGTAAAAGACGCAACGTTTGTTCGATGTTCCCACTCAGACAATTCACCGGAACTTCCGCAGGACAAGCAGAATTTGCAGCGTTTCCGCAGCACTTTCTTAACCATTGAGAAAGTGCACGCTCCAGAGTGCGAGGTTTCCGCAGGAAATTGACGTCACAGCGATCGTAAACCGGAACTTCCGCAGCACTTTCCATAAAGCGCTGCGAAAGTGCAGTGAGGCTCGTAAGGTTTCCGCAGCACTTTGACCCGCCAGCATTTCCGCAGGACTTTGAGAGCGCATGTACTTGCGAGCGAAATAGCAAACGCAACATCATTAGCGCATAGCGCACTCGTTTCTTCCATACTGTTTCGCTTCTGTTCCTCCTCTTTTCTATCTCTTTTTTCTTCCTTTCTTCAGTGTTGGCGTTAATAAACCTGTACTCATCCATATTCTAAGTATTCTTTCAGACATCGGTGCAGGTGTGTGAACAACCATCACCAAGCTGCTGGAGTGCTGGAAAAGGACTCAATGGAGGGACTTCGTCTAAGCATAACGCCCTTGTTCAGGTACGTCGAACTTCTTTGCTTTACGTGCGATTGAAATAATAACGCAAGCAATTTAAAACTATCACTTTGTAGAAAATATGCACTGGTTCTAAATAAAGCAGAAGTGATTGAGTAGAAATATATCAAAACGAAGGGGGAGGGGCAGAATAATGGGCCGAAATTTTCAAAATGATCTATAAGCTCTTGGTGAATGTTGAATAACTTTCAGAAAAATTTCAGATTCAAAGTATTAGGTGAGACCAAAAGTACGTTCGCCAGTTTTTCAAAAAATCGTAACTTCTTTTCGACTGATGGATCTCTTTGCGTTTATATTCATCTAAGATAGAATATCATTCTCTTTACAACGTTATCTCTGAAATGAATTGACTCAAGAAAGTTTGCGAATTAGAAGCAATTGAAAAAAAAATTACTCAAAATTGGCATTTTTCAAGCAGGGTCACCAAAAAATTCTGAAAGTATTTTTCGATATAGAAAGCTATGCTCTTTACTACAGTGCATTTTTCAAAAACAAAATAGATTGAGAACTAGAAATAAAGAGAATTGCTTCAGTTTTGCGTCGGGAGGGATGGGAAAGTCATGTGAACATGGGTTTAGTGACCTTTTCTTTTTAAATGGAAGAAGTTCGTGCCAATCGAGAGCGATTTTGATTTTCGTAATATTACCGAGTTTTCGAATCTGATTTTCCACGAAAATCAAAATTGCTTTCGATTGGCACGAATTTCTCTCAGCTAGAAGGAGGTCACAAAAACCATGTTCATAAACATCCCGTCTTTTCTGTGACGTTTTTGGGCATTTTTGAGCATGCTCAAAAATGGTATTTTTTGAGCATGCTCAAAAATTGCAAAACTGTAGTAATTCTCTTTAATTGCTTCTAATCCTCAATCTTTTTTGTTTTTGGAAAAGGCACTGCAGTAAAAAACATAATTTTTCCTATCGAAAAATACTTCCAGAATTTTTGGTGACCCTGCTTGAAAAATGTCAATCTTAAGTAGTTTCCTTTGATTGCTTCTTACTCGCGAACTTTCTTAAGCCAATTCATTTCATAGATACATTTGTAAAAAAATTGATTTTCTCTCTTAAATGATATAAAATTAAAGAGATCCGTCAAGTCGAAAGGAAATTATGATTTTTTGAAAAACTGGGGAACTTACTTTTGGACCCAACTAATAGTTGTGGACAATTTTCGAAGGAGCTGTGCTAAAAAAATCGAGGTGGTACAAAAATTGTGCAAAAATTCAACCATTCTTGAATTTTCTTTTGCTGGAAGTGGCCACACGCACACGAACTCAAAATTTTCAATCCCTCCCTCCCCTCCCTAAAATAAATTTCTCGCGCCGCCACTGCTTTTCGTGTGTCTATCCTTTTCTACTCTCTGCTTTTGATTTTCAAATCTTTTCCCTCTCACAATACCGCACACATCACAAAATAATAATTTTTGATTCAAAAATAAAAAATTCGAAACTTTCGATCTAAAATAATAACTCGAAAAATTCGAAATTTAATATTTAAATAATAGTGTTGAATGATTAAATAAAATAGAAATAATGTGGTAGAAATATATCAAAAGAAAGGGGCGGGGCATAATGGGTTCCAAGAATATTCCTAGTAGTCTGCCACTGTAGTTAATGAAAGATCAAAGCTCTTCTAAACTCTAAAGTAGTTTGTCTTTGCAATTTTTGAAGGTGTGGCTCACTTCACGCCCCTTTGTGCTAAAAAAAATCAAGGGCATACAAAAACTGGAACCACAAAAAATTTGACCATTCCTAAATTTCGCTTTGTATTGGTGGCTCACGCATACAAACCCAAATAATTTTTTGTCCCCCCTCCCCCCTTGGAGAAGTTTCTTTCACCGCCACTGCTTTAATGTATCTATCCTTCTCTGCTCCTCTGTTCTTGCTGTTTCAATGCTTTTCTCTCTCCCAGATACTTCCTACATCTTCAACAGATCTGCACATGTTTATTTTCGAATTCATGTTTCCAATAGTACCTACCTGAAGTACCTTTCAATGGAAGCTAGCTCCAGAGATAGAAGCCGGAGAAGAAAATTACTCCATTCTCAAAATTTCTGCGTTTGGTCGCAAAACTGAATTCGCAACGGCAATTGGAGCATTATACAGGGTGCGGAAAAAGTACTGTCCCTTAAAATAAAGTTTAAAAAATTGGCGTAGTTCACAGGTTTTTCTGGTATAGATTTGACATAATTCCCAAGATGGGAATATATTCTATCATTTACAAAAACAGGCTTCAAAATTCTACAATTTTACCCGGCAGCGGATCCATTTTCGCAGGGGATCTCATATCAAATCTTGCAACCCCCCTTTACAAATCTGAGGCTTTTGTGAGGATTTTTGAAAAAAAAATTTTGTTTGTCACGCGAACTTGAGAAATCCTCTACTGCTCAAGGAATTTGGTAGTGGATCCCGAAATATTCCGAAAGTATCCAGTCAGCACCTGCACTAGTAGAAATGCTTGAATTTTTGTAACAAGAAAGTGGCTGTGGCGCAACAGAGTGCGGTCAGAAAACGTGGCACAGAGACTAGGTATAATCGTTTATCGCTCCAAAATCGTGATGTAGACAAAATCCGATGCTCTTTTCATTATTCTTGCTACTTTTTGTTGGAATCTGGAGTTTCGAATCATAGTTTGAGTCCAATTCACTAAGCAAGCGCAGTTCTGAAAAGCCTCTTTTTCGAGAATTTTTGTGATTTGCGTGTGGTATAATCTTCCTTATTTGGCCAAACAAGAGTCACTAATCTACAATTCATCTACAATGGGTATAGAATATTGGAGAAAGGGTCATGCACTACATACCAGCTCAATTTGAAACTATCTATGCTGGTGGTATAGTTACGGTCCAAAATCGCGCTGGCATGCTATCGGCGCATCGTTAATGTTCTTGCGAGTTGTTATCACTCGTTCAAACGGACAGAAGGGAACAGTTTCAAATCAAACTTATCCTTATCTAATCTCAAGGATCTCGCCTACTTGTAGGAATCAAAAAACTACAGATTTATTTGTTTGGGGTATTTCAGGTGCCAAGTTGGAGGGACAGTACTTTTTCCGCACTCTATAGGTTTTATAGCCTGCTCTTTCTGACTGTGCCAAGTTTGCGCTGATTGAATCTCTTTGCTAAAAGTTACGATTTTCGAAGCAAATGCCAAAAAATCATATCTACCCTTTTTTACAACTTCGAAAATCATAACCAGGGTCAAGCGTGGGGTGTGACAGGCCACCCTGGGGGTCGTATTGAGGAGTCAAAAGGGAGGGGATCGTAGTCGGTATTCTGATATTAGTGATAACATGATATTTGTGAGCAGTTTGTCGGTAATCCCATTATGCGAAAAAGCAGATGAAGTATTGACTACCTTGGCAAGCCAAAGATGTGCTACGAAGCTTAACGAGTATCACCTTCATAATTAGCATGTCATTCAACCCCTGCAGACAAAGTTTGAGCGAATTCCATGGCCGCCACAGCTTTTGAGGGATGCCACTCCCCATTAACTATATCAAAAAAACATTTCTAGGGAACATTATTCAAATGAATCGATAGCCTAAGTCTCCTAGATTCCACGGGAATGATTTGAGTTTGATTCGTCTTCTTAGGTCTGATTAATATCTGGTGAAAGCACAGCCATCAAAAGCAAAAAATGGGAAAAACGAGATTTTGGTTGGCTTTTATTTCCACAGTTTCGAGGTCTTTTGAAGCGGGATTTCTGAGGTGGGCAAAGAAGGAGTAGTTTTTCGTTTTGAGTGCAAAAACTGGTAGCTAATTCACCTTTGAAACAAAGCGAATCATGTTGAAAAATGACAATTTCACTTAGGTGGCTTAGCATCTTGAAACTTCAGAATTCGCTCAAACTTTGTCTAAAGGGGTTAAATGGCATGCTAATTATGGATATATCGCCCGTTGTGTTTGACAGGGCTTTGAAGTAATGCTATCTTAGGTACACAGTTCAGAGGGAGGGGGCGTAACCAATGATCGTGTGCCACACCTCTTGCTTGACCCTGATCATAACTTCCTAAAAGACGTTCAATCAGCGCAATCTTTGTACACTCAAAATGAGTAGGTAATAATAGCTATGATACCGATTGCTCCGACTTTCTGCAAGCAGATTTTTGCAAACCAAACATGGGAATATTAAAATGGAGTATCAACTTCGGCCTATTGTGATTCTATATGGTACCTGCATAAAACAATACACTGTGCTTGCTTTCTCATTAAAACTATCTAGCTGTCTACTGTTTCTTAGCATCTGAAAAGTCTAGAGGAATTTCCACATCAAAGGAATAATGCCTTAGTAAAAAGCGAAAACCTAGTATTGGAAAGGAAAATCT